CATACAAGTTAATATTCTACTAAATATAATAAATAAGTTCTTGAAATAAATATGTTTTCTATTTAGCATGTCGTTCTGGTTATGAACTCATAATAAGTAGTCATGCTCATTTGGCTATATCGACTATCACTTGCTCGTAGGCAAGAAATGAAACAAAAAGATGTCGAATACAGAAGAAAAATAAACATACAATCAAATCAAGAATGATTACTTAAAATAAAACACGTGTTTGAAGTATTCAATAAGCATTAAAAAAAATAGACACATGCCATCAGTAATAAACAAAACTAAATAATATTTTATCTATGTTAATCTATTAAAATTTTATGCTTTAGAAACAATTTATGTTATTTAACTTATGAGTTTTTGCTTTAATTAATCAATATATGTATCTATTGTAATCGACTAAGTATGTAGCAAGAAAATTATTTGAATCATTGTTAGATGTGAGTATGGATTTCATATCTCAGACGAGATGGAAAATTTTGTATTTTTCCACTCAATATGAATAAAAGAAAGCCGTCTATCTGGCAATGATTGTAATTTTCAAATATTTCAAAATTATTTCATGAAATGCTGACAACGTGCATACCGCTAATACTAATAACGAATTTATTGTTTTGAAAGTTCTGCAATTTTATTTTCTAACTTAATTAGATATAATAATTGAAGATAGAATAATTTATTTAATGTAAATAAAGAGACAAATATTTTAATTATATATATATGTCTTCATTTGATACAGCAATATGTGAAGAAAATTTTCATTTTTGGAGGATTATATTCGTTTAACTATGTTGGTGAGTAAATATCTATGAGTAAATCTCAATATTTTGAAAACAAAATTAATAAAATATGACTTTTACTTTTTGAATTATTGATAATTTGAGATGCAATTGAATATCTTGTGTAATTATATGAAATAGATAATTTAATTGATAAATTGAATCTAATATATCTGATGATTTGAAATGTTGGAGAATATTTGATGAAAATTTTATTTTATAATAATTCAAATTTTTTCTTGGTTTATCTATTATTCAAAAGTGAAGAAAATTTTCTGTGACAAAAAGAAAAAACTTGTTTGATGAAGATCAGAACAGAGAAAAATATACCATTTATTTTATTTTTCAAACAATGAATGAATCATTTTCTTGGTTTATTTATTCTATTTAATAACAATAATAATAAATATGACCTCTAAACAATTATTCTTCATCGAAAAAAACGACTCCGTAATTGATTAAACTCCATATTATATTAATCAAAATAAAATAATTGATATTTTAAATCAAATGAAAAAGTATACACAAAACCAAAATTTTCAACATTATTTTCCTTATTAAGATTTGATCAATCTATTATTGATCATTTATTAGCAGTAATAAATTGATCATAAAATAAAAATAATGTCCATATACAAATAACTTCAAGCAATTTCTTCATAACAATAAAAACAGAAGAACGTAAGAGAAAAAAAAAAAGAATGATTCATGATGATTCATGTTTTATTCTCATTCTGTCAATTTGTTTCGTTGATCTACTGTGCATTTTGTGCTTGTCATGCCAGTATATAATGACGAAGAAGACATAAGAAAACTCATACTTACCTGCCACGGATGCATTCATGATCATAAATATGCATGCTCCAGGTTGAGGCGCGGACATTGCACATCGTCTCCGCTGACACCTGCGAAAAGTCCAAATCGGATTTTCTCGAGTGGAGAATTTATTACGCGGTCATTTGCGTTCGCGCATTGGCCATTCAATTCATTATAAAATGTAATCTATTTATATTTGAGTTTGACAAATACATTTACGTTAAGAAATGTACTTCAACATCTTTATTTAATCATACACTTTTGAATATAGATGTTCTTTAGAAAAGTAAAGTCTTACTTTCTTCTCTAGTACTTTAAATTTGTACTTGAACTTCGAAAGACATTCCGTTTTTTGTTTGATTAAATATTATAATTTTACATAGAATTTTACTCTTTTAAAATTTCATTGATTCAAAATGATTTTTTTTTATTATAAAACTAAATCATCAATTAGAATTCAAGATAGATAGACATAAAAAACTAACGAATGATATTTATTGGAGTTAAAAGATGAAATAATTTTATTTAAATTAAGTGTTATAATCATTTATTTACTAATACTAAATAATTCTGATCAAACTTTCAACTATTCAATTAGCTATTTAAAGAGCAATATAAAATATTAACATTTAATTTAATCAGTAAAAAAAGTTACGGTGTGGGTGTGAATTTGAGTGTAGGTGTCACTGTATAGAAGGCTCACATCCCATGGTCGCATACCTACACTCACATCATACTCTTTTTTAGTTTCATAGAGACGTACTTCTGGTCCTAATATGGAATCAAAAGGCGTCGAACAGTTTGAAACGTTTTATCGTGAAGCATCAGCATGATATGAAGGCAAAATTTAGATTTAAAAGTGTTTTTCATGTTCATGTTTCTAAGAAAAATGAGATTTGCATTTCGATATCTTCAACAAATATATATCAATACATCGAACTCTTTAGGATTGTTCATTTTAGTATTTTCGTGCGATTTCAGAACCTTTTTGTTAAATTCTTTTCATTTTTAACTAACTCCTCACAACGAAAAGATATTGAGACATCATTTTCGCTACAGCAAAGTCAGACAATCCTGAGCATCAATTGGCGTAAAAATTACGATTTTAAAAAGGTTTTTCAATTAACCAGTCTCATGCATTTCTATAAGCTGACATTTTCAGAAATTGTACCGAATTCCATATGCTGTTAGTCATAAAGATAATGATATCTAAAAAGTATTAAACAAATCTAATAGACACAACACTTATTTCATTTTTTCTAAAGACCACAATTTCGTATTCACTAAGAACAAGTATTACATATGAACTTTTCTTTCTGTGATCACTTATCGGTACGATAAATATCAGAGAAAAAAATGACGCAGTACGTAGGTAATTAGATCAAGATAAGAATTCATACATATAGTTCTAAAGAGAGTAAATTAAAATTAAAAAAACCGATATAGTATAACAAAGTGGTGAGATTAAACAAGAGAACATAACACAATATAGCATAGTCTTCTGTTCTTAAAATGGAGAATAATAGAGATCAGAAAATGAACTAAACATTATTTTTTTCGATTGACAAATTAGATCGAGCTGCATTGGCTAAAATATCTCAGAATCTAAGTGGAGTTGGAATTTGCTTTCATTGAATCTAATTGAATTGCTTGTTTTGAACCTGAATTTAATTAATTCTGTTCCGGATCTCAATAATATTTAATCATGTCAACATAGATTTTCATTCCTATTATCAAATGTCAATTCTAACAAAACTGTATCGATAAGACAAAATGTGATATTTCACCGCCGTTTTATGATGATGACATCTGATTGAAGGAAATCACTAACTAAACTACTAAAATCGTATTTTTATATTAGTCGTTCTTCAGATCATCATATCGCCATTTGAAGAAAAATGAGTCGACTGAATAATGGAGATTTTATTTTTCTATTGTTTTCAAACGCTTTTCTAAAAGTATCATTTGCTTTTCTTTTTTTCTTATTTTAAACTAATATGGAATTGTTAAATGCAACTTAGAATTCATATTGTTTTTAATCTAAGTATTTGATTTTTTTTTTAAAACAAACTTTTTGTCATCACACACATGTTCATAAGCTGATTGGTTCAAATCAGACGGGATAAGCTACATATACTTTTATATGTACCGTGTGAATGAAGCTTATCTAAACCCAGGCTATAACTAAAGTTAAAGCGAATTTATTTTTTTAATTATTCTGTCATATTAAGAAGCACTGACTTGATCTAAATGGTGATATAGGTAATGTAAGAGGCCAGGTACAAGATGTATTATGGAAGGACACTCTGTCTATATATATATGTAGATTTTTTTACAATTACAGTACTTTTTTTTCCAAGCAAAAATACGTTTAAGTACTCTCCATTATTTCATATTTTCTAACCAAGAGATTTGTGCTAAAATAAAAAAGATTCGTTTTCAGCGTTGATTTTTCACCTCGAAAAACCTGGTTTTAGTGAGAATAACCGGAACAAAACATACTGATTTTTCCAGTCAAAATAATAAAAAAAAAAACAAGTTAGTCGTGTTTTCCAAAACTTTATTTCAAACAGATGGACGTGAAAAACGGATAATATTCAAACTTCAAATACATAGTTTTTGAGATGAAAAATCAACTCTAAGAACGAATCTTTTTTATTTTAGCGCAAATCTCTTGATTAGAAAATGTGAAATATTAGAGAATACTTAAATCTATTTTTTCTTGAAAAAAAAAATCTATATATACAAGCAGAATTTTCTTCCATGGTACATCTTGTAGCTAGTCATCCACGCTATCTACATCATCAGATTAGTGCTTCTTAATGTAAAAGAAAAATTAAAAAATAAATTCGCTTAAATTTTTGTCGTAAACTACAATTCGTCTCAATTAATAAATAAAAAAGGCTCTATTTATATTGAAGTAAATCAAGGTAAATGACAAGGATATCATATTCTTCTTATCGGCAATGCTAATTTATAATAAAATATATCGCATTGAGAAGACTGTTAAAATATTCGAAAGATAGAGGACTCTACTATCCAACTTAGCTATCGAACAGTATTTAACCTCAAAAAAGGTTTTTCAAGCATCTGCCGAAAACACGAAATCGTATGCTTTGTTCAGCATTGAATTTTCAACTTTTTAATCAATAAATTATCGCGTAAAATTCATTAACATTCATCTATAGCTCAAATGCAGCAATGGCTACTCAATCTGCGAATGATTGCGTTAGTCATCGGACCGTAAACAGCTAGTCAGACGTTGATAAGAAATCAAACGATCTAGAGGGGGAGACATTGCATCCCTGTCTCTCCCATCCTCGGTAACATAGTCACTAATTTTTGTGTGTATAAATATCTTTTAGATATTATTTATTTTTTACGCTTAAAACTATATAAATGATTGAAGAAAGTCAATCATTTAAAATTCAAACTGTTAATCGACGTTTTTTACCATTTGATTCAGGTTAATTTATAATTTTTTTTTGTTTTTCGAATTAAAATAATTTTATCTTTTTTTAATAAGAAAAAGAAAAACAATGGCAAGGTCCATTCTTTTTTATTCAAGGTGCTGATTGTCAACCAGGATTAACATATCTATGGACAGATACTGGAAGAATGGAACCTACTTCTGATATGCCTATGAAGTAATCAAATTCTATTTTCTTCTTTTTTTTTATGTAGTTATAAATATTATTTTATCTAGATGGGATATTGAAATTGAAGCAACACGTGCTGTTATTAAAAAAATAAATCAAATGAAACCTAAACCAAAATTTTTTATTGTTTGTGGTGACATTGTTGATGCATTTCCTTGTAAGAAATATTAAAGAAAAAAAACGAAAGAAAGGAAAGGAAAAATATGTATTTATATACATATAATTTTTTTTTTTTAAATTAATTATAGTTGAAGAACCATTTCGTTCACAACAAGAAAAAGATATAAAAAATGTATTTAATGAATTAGATCCTTCAATACCATTAGTATGTGTTTGTGGAAATCATGATATTGGTAATGAACCAACACGTGAAAGTATTCAAAGTTATATTAATAATTTTGGTGATGATTATTTTGATTTTTATTGTGGTGGTATACATTGTATTGTAATAAATTCACAATTTTATGCACATTCATTAAATGTTGAAGATTTAAAATTAAAACATGAACAATGGCTTGATAATGTATTAAAAGATAAACAATCAAAACATATTATTATATTTCAACATCTTCCATGGTTTTTAAATGAATATAATGAAGAAAATGAATATTTTAACATTGAAATTAATTTAAGAATTAAAATGCTTGAAAAATTTCATTTAGCTGGCGTTAAAAAAATTTTTTGTGGACATTATCATAGAAATGCAGGTGGATTATTTAAATCAATGGAACAAGTTATTACAAGTGCAATTGGTCTTCAATTAGGAAATGATAAATCAGGTGTTCGTTTAGTACGTGTTACTGAAAATGATATTGAACATCAATATTTTCCTACAGAAGATATTCCTTTGAATTTTTTGTAATATTTATCAAATAAATCTTTTTTTTTGTGCTCCCAGGTCACTCGAACTGGGATTGACTGACGTTTAGATCCAGTCTGAGTCGGTAGTGTCAAACTTAAAACTTGAATTCAATTATTGAAAAGCTATTTCAACTATTTAAGTATTCAATTATTCAAGTGTTTTGAAAAATTGAAGTTCAAGTATGAAGATACTTAAAATGATTCTCACATATTATAGGTATTACCTGAAATGCTTCAATTATACCCTGGAATGCTACAGGCGTTATTTGGGATGCCATAAAATACTACCTGAAATGCTACAATCATCCTTATGAATGTCCAAGAAAGCACCTAGAGTGTTACATATATTATCTGGAATGCTACAGGAAGCTCCTTAAATGCTTGAATGATCATGAGAAAGTAGCATCTGTAAGCGAACGAGTAGCATGATTAAGTAGCCCCCGAAAAGTTATAGTTAGCATACTCCAAATATTAACCGCTTCAATTATTGTGTACACTGAGATGAGCATGGATCGCGGCTCTTCGGAGGGTGCTTTGCGCTCCCACTCTGTGACGATGATATAAAAGATCAGTTACGCAGGAAACAGTGCTTACCGACGTTTTACACAAATATCGAATAGTTGAATTCAAGTTTCAAGCTTGACATATATGAATTTTGTGGATGGAAATAACTTTTCTGGGGCTGAGCAAGGTATATATTCGACTCAGTATGTTAAGCAAATGGAAGCAATAACATTTTAAATCAAACTTTTTGTGTCAAATTACAGTCAGTAACGATTTTTCAATGGTATAGATGTTCTGTTTAAGTCCTGAACAACTGAATCATCTACGCCAACTGTTGATATTTACAAGTCAGCATAAATTATTTTATTGAGAATTTTGCTACTAATAGTATTATTATGTATATGAATTTTTCAAAGACATAAATGAACTTTTTCACGATGCAAACATCATTTCTCTAATCAACTAAACTAGTTGCATGAATTATTGGCATTGAAAAAGTAACACAAAGAACTAGGTCGGATATGGCCATTTTTCTGACCTAATGAAATCGAATTTTTTTTTATTGAAATGAAGTGAAGTATGGGCTCTGATCATATTTTATAGGTCCTTTTTCAAATTACTCAAAAAAAAAATTCTTGAGACCCGTGATCCCCACAAGGATGTCGAAAAATTTTGTTTCTTCTTATTCAGATTAAAATGTGTTCTTATTTTTAGAGCTAAGTGTGCTGATTACGAATATCATCATTAGAAAGTTCATGTATGTTTTGTTAATTAGAAAACCATAATATTTTGAGATGACTCTTACGAGTGTGAGTGTTTGTTCTGGTGTCTTAAGTCTTTGTTCAAATCCACACCCATACCCACACGCCATCCTTGTTTTAATTACTACATTTCGATTAATTGTTGTCAAGGTAATAAAAAGCTGTTAGCGCAATCCCTTGCGGGATTAAAAATGTGAAACACGATGGATCTATTGTTACTAATTAAATGGAAATCCTTTTGTTCCATTTCTTTGCGACACGTTTGTAGCCAACCGTTTATCTGATGCTTTACAACTAGTTTCTCTGTCACGGTCTGTGATGGGTACCAGGGTTTTCTGTCATGCTCTGTGATGGGTACCCGGGGTTCTCTGTCACGGTCTGTGATGGGTACCAGGGTTCTCTGTCACGGTCTGTGATGGGTACCCTGGATTCTCTGTCACGGTCTGTGATCGATACCCGAGATTCTCTGTCACGGTCTGTGATGGGTACCAGGGTTCTCTGTCACGGTCTATGATGGGTATGAATTTTCTCTGTCACGGTCTGTGGGGGAGGGGGGGGGTGCAAAATTTCTACCCTAAACACTTCAACACTCCTTTCAGATCGTGTTTCACAAAATTGATAAAGATTCGGAGTAAAATTCATAAATAGAAAGAATAAGTACTATGAAAAAAAAAACAATATTTCATCAAAAGAATATCGTCTAATTATTTTTAATAGAAAAAGGCATCTTTCACTCTGCTCTAAAATTAGATTAGTCTGTGAAATTCTCATCTATATCTATTTTAAAGAACAATCTCGTTTAATCTATTCGTATCTTTAAAAACTCGCCTTAGTAAATTAATGTAGAACATGAATCAAGATAAAAATTGAAGTGATAATGAATGGATGAATACGTCTATTTGACTGTTGTATGACGGCTATTTTTAATTTTATGGAACTTTCATAACTTTTAATGGAAATCCAACATTAGATATTCGAACTTTTCCTACTTTTCTTATCATCCAACTTTATCGACACTCGTCTTTTACAGTTTCGTTTTATTCATCAAGGAAAGAATTTTAATGACATAAGCCGAGTATGCGTTAACATATCACTAGTGTGAAGAGTTGTTCCATAACAAATCACACTAACGTACAATCAATAGAATTTTTGTGACTACGCTGCAGTGGTTAATCTACAATTTTGAGAGAAGGGCTATTTCCTGTTGAGAAGAATCGGAAAAAGTTTCAAAAAAGAGGAGCGATTACCTACACTACTTTCCATTCTTCAAATCTATCACTGTCACAAATTTTTAAGTATACATTATGAAAGTTATAGTAACGAAAATAAAAGAGTAACGACTACAACTATTTCTCACTAAAAAAATATACGAAAGTATTTAATGATTCTAAATCTATATTTCAATTGTCGAAATCATTAGTTGCAAAAAATTATTGTAATCGTCGTACAGCTCATTATACAATTATGATTATTCTAATTCTTTCAATATTTATTAATTTACCATTATTTCTTTATACAAATATACGTATTTATTGTACAAATAATGGTACAATAAAATATTATGATTTTGAATTATCATTCATATTAAATACAAGATTTTTTTCACGTTTATTCTATCCAACAATGGTTATTACATCATTACTTATTCCATGATTAATATGTTTTTTAATATGGTTATTTTTAATTCATGCATTACATACAACACAAATAAAATTAACAACAAAAACAATGAATACAACTTTTTACAAATAATCGTAAACAAGATACATATTTTCGTATAACATTAATGATTATTTGTGTTTTATCTCTGTTTATATGGTATGTCGTAGTGTACGTTTAGATTTCATTTTCAACAATAAAATTATTTTGAACAAATACGTATGAAATTATTTTGTATATCAAATATAATGTTAACTATAAATCATGATGCAAATTTTTGATATTTATTGAATAAATTCAAAATTTTGTTTAACACTTAAATTATATATAATATATTATTTTCGTTATTGACGAATAAAACGTCAACGAGCATTTATATTATTTTATTTAAGGAGGAAAAAATACAAATGATAGTTTAGATGGTTTAAATGTACTAAATGATTTTCATTATTCATTAATGTTAACATCAGCAAATGGAATGATATCTAGATATGACAATAATCGATATAATAATGAACTTTTATATTTAAAAAGTAGCTATATGAAAACTAGAAAAATATCTTAATGAAATTGTTGATTCAAAGTTCTAATAATGAAAATTCAGAAGAAAGTTATGTTTGAAAAGAAATTGAATAAAGATTAAAATATTCTCATCGATTTTATTATTGATGATTTATTTTCTTTTTCTGTTTGTAACAAATAATAATATTTATTTATTCTCTGCTTGAAATATATTCAAAAGCGCCATTATTAAAATCTATTTTAGTTTTTTGAATTGACATATTTTATAATAATATATGACAGAAAAACTAATGAATAATGATAGTCAAGTTTGGTGTATTCCAAACGATTGGTAAGAATATCTATTTGATACAACAACGTTTGATCACATAATTTATGTAGGAAAAAACAATTCTAAAATATTTACGTTTTTCAATTTTTGTTACCATTTGCAAATGATAATAAACAAAAAAAAAAGTATTTTGTACTTTCAGAAATATGTAGCTCAGAAATTTTTACCTTCCAAAGTCGATTATAAATGTCCTGATTATGCTAGATAGTTGATATTGTTTAAATTAGAATCTTTATTATGAATAAAAACATCAAATTTTTTTGAATTATAAATCATCTCTACAGGAAGTATACAGGAGAAAAAAATTCAATAGATGCATTACATTCTTGATTCAATATTTATTTTAAAAAAACCTAAATGAAGTGAAGAGATAAAGCATCTTATCTCTCTTGTTATAGATAAAATGAGCTAATTAAGAGTAAATAAAAGACCAAAGTATCTTCAAATTAAATACTCTTCTCATCATAGAACGTCACTATCTATATATATATTATTCAGTATCTGCGTGTTTCTCTGTGCCGGGTCAAAAGTCAAATAAGCCTATAAGGAGCAGACCCAAGGGCTATTATATGGGGGTACCCATAGGTCCTGAAGGAAATATGGCAAGACGAGGGTAAGACAATAAGGGGATAATGCTACAAGAGCTACCAGGAATATAAGGCTATAAGACCGAAGGCTAATGGACTATAAAAATATATGCGATATAAGAGTATGAGGCCGTAGGGCTACCTATCCGTATACATAATATCGAGTGTCTGTATGTCCGTTACCGGATGAAAAGTTAAACGTTCGACGTCATACGTTAGAGAAAACAAAACAGCCATGCAGTATGCACGGGTTCTCGCTAGTCTACATATTTATATATCATGTCGAATGTATGAAAAAAAACACAGCATAGATTGATATAAAGTGTGCGTATCTGTAATTGTAAGACAATATTTACACTTCAAAACTCGAACTAATTAACGAAAGAAAATTTATCTGTTGGCAACATAACAAACGACAGCTATATAAATCTTTTTTTTGTAGTGTTCCATTTATAGCAGTAAAATTTCACATTTTCGATATCAATTCTTGATTCAAAAAAGAAAAATATTTTAAGGCTGCTCTATCATGGCATCAAAGACATATAAATCTTGGTTATGAATTTGTATTGGATACAACCGATAAAATTCTTACACAAATTCGTGATTTAATAGATATAGATGAAGTAAACTGATTGTTTATTTTTAATTTAATAAAAATTTTTTTTTTCATATTAATTGATTGATAAATGGCGATCAATTGTATTCAAACTAGTTGAACGTACACTTGCTAATTCAGTAATTTAATAATAATGATGGTTCCTTTTTCTTTTTTTTTATTTATTGATATTTTTCATAGCCACGTATTAATCAAGATTTACTTATAGCAAATATATCTGAAAAGATTTTTTTTGATTATCGATCAATCGTAAGAAAATCTAATTAATTGAATATTTCTTTTTTTGTTTTTATTGATATATCTAGAAAAGAAATATTGATGAAACATATGAACAAGGTATTAATGAAGTATTCAATCAATATAAATATATAATTTCTTCACGAGTAGCTAATGGTGATGTAAACGATTTTTTAATTTGTAATTCATTTAATCACAAAAATATAATTTAATTATAGATACCTGATCAATGTGTGAAAGAAATTATATGTGCAATTGAACAATTTAAAACTCGTCTTTTAGCTCGAGCAGGAAAAGTAAAAAGATACAAAACAATAGATAATGATAAGTTTTTTTGTCTATAATTAGATGATGAAAGGAAATATGATTGATGAAATATTTAAATTGACTCAAAATCATTTAAAAGAAAAAGGATATGTAAATTTAATTTTAATAAAATTTTTAAAAAAAATGTTTTTTTTTTGAATTGTTTGTTTGTTTTTCAGGATTCGAAAAAATTGGATTTAATCAAAGATGAATTTAAACAATTAATGAATAATCTATCAGAGAATAATGAATTTGTATAGAATTATTAATTCTTTTTCCTTATTTTTTAAAATTTATTAGATTTTTAGAATAAATTAGATAATGTGAAAAAAGCATGTAGAATAATTATTATTCAATGATTTTATTTTCTTAATTGATTTTCAATTAGCTTTTCTTCAAGCTAAACTTCAAAAAATGATTTTAGATAAATATGATAATGATCCAGTAGATTATTTTACAATATTTCGATGTTTGAAAAGCTTTTTTTTATTATAGAATGTACAAACTATTGTCGATAAAACTCGATCGTCTACTTTACCGATTATGCAAAGTCATATGGAGAAATTAAAAGCTAATCAAGAAGTTCAATCATATCAAACAGGACAACAAGAACAAGGAGATTCTATGAAATCTGAATCTAATATAACTCCAAAAATTCATTCGTCTTATCAAAGAACAAAAAAATCGAATTCAGATTATGATACAACTTCTTCAATAACAAAAGTAATATTTCTCATCTATTCGAATCAAGATTGAAACTATTCGATAATCACTAGGGATGTACCGAGACCAAACCGAGAATCTCGGTGCGGGTAGTCTCGGTCGAAAAACTGAAAAAAAATAATAATTTCGACCGAGAATGAATACAATGCTTACCTAGGAAAAAGAACGAATAAGAAGTTAATTGTACTCGAGACCGAAACTAACCGAGCCCGAGAGGCTTGGTCTCGGTATATCCCTAACAATCACTTAATCAGTTAGGGAAAAGCTAGAGTCTGTCAATGGGTTTTTTTTCCGGTTTCAGAATATTAAAAATTCAAAAAGAAGGAGATTCAAAATGATTATGATTTTTTGAACAGTCGCTCATTGTAATTCGTTATATTCAGAATGAATATTAAGATAATTACTGGGTACTTTTTGTGATTGTATTTTGTCTTCGTACTATTTGTATATGAGTTTGAAAATGTATTTATAATTCTTCAATATTCTTATTTAGCATATTCCTAATGATTTCAATGAAAAAGATCAACAGAAAAAAGAACATAAACAAAAGCCTCATCATTCTCGAAAAAATAATGATTATGATAGGTAACTTTTTTTTTTGTTGTTATTTCCTTGTAAATCATTTCATGATTATATTCTAGTCAACAAATATCAAATACCATTATTCCATTTACTAGTAAATAAATTTTCTTCTTTGATAGAGGAAAAAACATTTCTTTTATAGATTGTGCTGATTATGATCCATATCGAAATTATGAGCAATATAAAGCAAAACGTTTACATAACAATAAACAAAAAAATGTCTATTAAATGTTGTTTGTTTTGTTTTTTTTTTTTTTATGAGTTAATATAGAAATATTTTATAACGAATCAACTCGACATACAATAACTAAAATATCATCTCTTCCATTGGCTATATATCCTGAAATAGAATAAATATATTTAATTATTATTACAAAAAAACAAATTATCAATAAACTATACCTTCAACCGCTTGACTCAGAAGATCATCAGCTAAATCTTGTATATGCTTGAAAATAAACAAAGAAATTATTATTATATACATGATTAAAATAATTTAGAGAGATAAATTACTTTATTCGTATTTCGTTTCACAATTTGATGTAATTGATCATTTTTAATTACATCCCATAGACCATCTGACGATAAAATAATCATATCATCTTTTTGAACTTCAACTGTATCCAATGAACAATCTCGTAATACTTCACTAAAAATTAAAATCATAGAAAAAAAAACCATCGAAGTCAATTTATAACTAATCCTATCAAGAAAATTTACTCTTCTCAGTGTTTTAGTTCATTTAATAAGTGTATTATCATTCTTAGATATCGTCATCATTATGAAGCCTCGTTATAATATATAAACTATTTTCTTATCGTATTTCTCGAGGATAAAGCAAAAAGATAGTAAATAAATGCGTTTACAAAATAATCTACCTGTGATTAGAAACAACAGCTGAGATACTCATGTCATAGTTTTTGTCGCCCCATAGGGCTCATGAGTAGGGTCCCCTACCAGAGATGTACATGACGGGCGCAGCGGCGGTACCGGCAACGTTATTTTTGGAGGACATTTTAAAACTGTGTGAATTTATAGAATTTCTATATTTTTCAAACGAAATAGCTTGCGACTGAATAAATCTAATGGACCGATACCAATATTTCTGGTTAAATACAGCCGCAGCAGTGAAATCCAACAGTGTTTTGAAAACCATCGCGGCAGCGGCAGGTTTTCAGCCGTGATGGACATCTCTGGCCCCTACAGTCAGTTTTGTGGCCTTTCCCATCGATGGAGAGACTGAGTTTTTGAAATCCAGTTTACCTCCGATCATGGGCCCAATAGATGGGCACATGGGGAAACAAAAAGAAAAGATTATAAACAGAAATTTCATAACAAAACATTTATCATATTTCGGAAAACAAAATAAGCAAGTTGTTTTCATCAAACAATCATTGTTATTTTCTTGAAATTCATTTCACATATTTACTTGAGTAAGATATAGAGAGAGAAAAGTATGTACAACAGAAAAAGACATGACTGAAATTCAAAAGAAAAAACAAAAAGAAATTTCTCCTTGAATTATTTATTAAGACTACAATAACATCATTTTACTTCATTTGTATTTGCAATTCTAATTGCATGAGCAAGTAATACATTATCTAATTGAGCAACATCCAATCAAATTTCTTCGTCCAGTAGTAGAATGTATTTATGTATATATGTAAAGTGCAAAAGTAATACACAGTGTGACTAATAAGACAATAAGAAAATCTCAACAATCTGGTCGTCTTTATTTTCAAGCTTTTCCATGAATTTTGAAATTATACTTAGACCATGAGGTAAAAAAATGATCACCCCATGGTTCAGACCATACGTGAGGAATCGTATGAGCGGAAATTGAACATATTGAGGGGACATGATGAGGCGAAGTATCATCCTATCCTCATTTGTGGCATCACTCCACGAGTACCTCTGAATAGCAGCTATGTTAAATTATTCATCTTTTAGTTTCAATCAGCAACTTGACTCCAAAAACAAGTAGCTGAATTTTGAATAGTTTACTAGTGTGAAACAAATACGAAGAAGTAATTTAAAATATGTTTCGATTTGAAATACGATTTTCTTCCTTTTTATCTTATTTCTTAAACAAATCATTTAATTATGTATATGAAACTATAAATTGCATTGCTTTTCTTCTATGTACATTAAGTTTTTTTAAAAGTATATACTATTCGCAGTCTAACTTATGGACTGAGAGTATTTGATTAACTACGACTGATGAATAGCTAGTTTCTGATGTCATTTTATTGCTTTCAAATACTATGTATTCCACTGTTTTTTTTTGAATAATTTTTAATAGGAATATTGTAGATACTTGTAGTTTTCATCGTTCAAAAGAGAAGATTCTAGACCATCGAAGTATATTGAAATTCAATTAGTCGACAATCGATCAATCACGTAAGTTCGTAATGGAGATTTTCGAAAACGATATTCTTGAAGTCACTTGTCTTTCGATTTTGACTTCTGAAAATGAAGTTCTTAGAAAAAGTCTTATCATTCTCGAACAAAAGAAACAGCTATGAATGTCGTACTTGCATAGATGGAAAGAGAGCAACTATTTTCTATTGAGTAGTCTAATTCAGGATTTAAATCAAATTGTAAATATCTTCAGAATATGATTTTTCGAAAATCTCCATCAAGAACTCACTTGATTAGTCAATTGTTGGCTAAGAAAAGTTCGATGACTCAGAATTTTTTTTTTAAATAATGAAAACTGATAGTGTCTATGATAAAGTATGTTGTTTCTTCCTAAACTATTAAAACAATTCTGTTTTTGACTTACTTTTCATTAATGAAACATGGTAAACCAAGTGAATCATTAACAGAAAATAATTGTCTTGGTCCAAAACCATTTGAATTCATTGTACATTTTGATCGACAATAAATTTCATTATTTCGATAAATAACAAAACCACTATCACCAATATTAAGTGATGTCAATGTATTTTCTTGTTTATCAAGTGCAAATAAACATAATGTACTACTACCTATATATAAATATATCATTTATTTTTCTTTATTCAGAAAAAAAATTGATCTTTTATAATTCCCAGGTCAAGCTCGGTACGTCGGAACCGATCGGTTCCGTTGAATTCCGGTCCAGATTTCGTCGGATCAGTTTCCATCGGTCCCGTCGATTTCCGACGAATTCTTGGTCGAAATTTTGCGGAACTTAACGGAATTTTTCCGACGGAAACTGGACCGGAATCCTGTAGTCAAGAAATCGTCGGAAGTCAACCGAGCCGACCGAAAACCAACGGAATCTATAGGATCCGCTGCCGGAAAACAAAGGAAACAAACGGTTCCGGCAATCGGAATAGTGGACCTGGGAATAGCCAAGTCAACAAATAGTCGAAATATGAGTTTAATTTCCTCTTAAATTTACCTCGAACACGACTTGCTTCAACTTGTTGTATAGCTGAAAGAATAAGTCGTGGTAATTGATGTGGTTGAATGTTCGATTGATGAAGAATATTTCGACAAGCAGCAAGAATAGCTTGAGAAAAATCAGCTGGATTTATACCAAATGAACGATTACCACTAGCACCATCAGCTAAACCTTAAAAAGAAAATTTATTATTTATTTTATTTTATTTTGTATATAAATAAATTTACCAACAAAACAATAATCACGATTTTCAACAATCATTCCAGCATCATCACCAAAATCACCATTAGTTAAATTTAAATTTGATAATGGTAATTGACCACGCATAGATTTTGATGCTCCATTAACAGCAACACGTAAACATAATTTTGTTTTTATTGTTGCTGGATATATTCTTTCATGAACAACTTGTCCATTAGATACTTGATAAGTACATGTACGTGATGATTTACGTTTATATGATGTTAAATTATTTTTATTAAGAAATTTTTCTTGTTTATTATCAATATATGATGTAACACGTGTATTATATTGTTTATTTGATAACCATATTTCATCATAAATTATTTTTGGTTCAATATGAAATGATGATAATTTTGTTTCATATTGACGATTATGTTGTGGATAAGTATTTTCTTGACTATTTTGATGAATATTTGAATAACGAACAAATTTATGTGTTAAACTATGATCAATTATATATATATATGTCAGAAAAATTAATTATTTAAAATAAAAAAAGAAAAAGATTTTTTTTGTTTACTGAATATTCTGATTGTTAAAATGAACTTTAAGTATTTTGCTTGTGTGATCATGAAAATAGTATTCTAGGCTTGATAAATTTATTATATGAACTATTTTAGACTAAACGAAATATATCAAACTTTCATTTGACTTTGATTCTTTACAAGAATTATTTTTCTTTAATCTTTAGAAAATAATTTAAAAGAAATAATGATTTTAATTTTACATTTTGGATCCTAATCTTTCCTAACTAAAGTTTCAAACTTTTGCTATTGTCAAAATTCTCAATTTGATTTATTAAGACTTTTTTTTGCTTGAAAAATCTTTATTACATCAGTAGAAGGAATTCTTGACTTCCATTGTTGTCAAAAATTTTAAAAGGTAATCATCAAGCACATTTATAAAAATATTTTTTTCATTTATTTTCTCATTATTAATTTTATAATTACATATCAATAACAATTACCATAGCTGTAACAATATAAATATATGTAAAAAACAAATAGAAAATGGATATCTTTACTATAAACCTATTTACTATTAATATTCAAAACATTATTTAATAGAGAATCGAAATTTACAGCAATTACACAGTCATTCGATTATTAAATTGTAGCATTTTTGACTAGAGAAAATTAGATATCTTTGAATTCTTTTGTTCTTGACTATTATTACATGTATTGCTAAATGCATATGATATTTAAACAATAACGATGTATATCTATTTGTACATTAAGACATTTTTTGAAATTTTTATTCACATACAAAGATTTCATTTTTCTATTGATTCCTCTTAGAAAACACTTAATCTAAACTTGAACAATAGCCAAAACGTAATATCTAAGTAGGCTGATGTCAGGTCTTTCCTATTCAAATTAGCAGATAAATATAACCGATAGGATTCTATGTGATTTGGTCAAGTTCGAGTCTTGAAAGGCCTCACAATACTTTTCAAGAAAACAATGAACTACATCACTATGAATAACTGAAAAAAGTGATTTTTTCTTTTTGTTTTAGTAAAACTTCTATATTAATATTTTAACTTACGATTGTTCACTACTAGTAGTTGAATCATATTTATAATTATTCTGTG